TGGTGGTAAATAAATAAGAGCGTAGGTTGGGATCACAAAACATAAAATTAAACGAGCAAAGCCAACTGTGATTTTTATTCCCTCGTAAATGAGATTCGCTTTGAGGTACAGCTTTCAAAAAGGAGAATGGGCCACGTACTGTACTTTAAAGACCTTATGCCGGGTTTTTTTTTTTTTTATTGTGGATATCAAAATTGCATGACAATGTCGATCTGAAATAGATTCCGTCAAAAAAAATCCTATATTATATAAAAAGAACGTGTTTTTCATTAATTTAAGTTGTCTATGCTCTAACCTGTGTGTGACGTCATAGCGGGTAACGCCCATGCATTGAAAACCATGGATCTATGCCACAGGACTGCCTTTTCTCTCTTCTCTCCACTGGTGCCCAACACAATACTGCACTCTACAGGTGACAATTGCTCACCACACATAAATTGCCGTTTTGAGTGTGAAAAAGTGTCTGAGGCGGGATTTGAACCCCAGTATCTGAATTGGCAGTCCATCGACACAACCACTGGACTATCTCAGTGCCAACAAAGTGTTTCAATCTAGTAGTAATATCACACTCGCTGTACACGGCCTTGTCATCTTGAATATCCACAAAAAAAGAACGAATACCAAATTGTAAACAACTTACAGCGTTGAAACGTACCCACTCTGACGTCACCAAGGGCTGTGAAGTTTTTTTGTCTCTAAGGGCGTTGCTATGGGGTTATTTCGATGTGGGGGGATCAGACAAAAAAAACACCAACTGATTTTGAAACTTTTAGTAGTTCTCTTCTAATATAAAATGGTATTAAAACTGTATTTCTAAATAAATCAAACCCGTCATAAGGTCTTTAAGTGTGCCATGATACGCTTTTTGACTCTGGTTTAAACATGATTACAGCTATTTAGCCTTCATACACATGCCCAGAGAAGTTTTTTCATTGATTGCCTCAAGCTTTAATCTTTTAGCTTTTTCAAATCGTGACGTGCACAAATCCGTGACGTCAGGATGTGATTGACAGCGGGGAGAAACTGAACCAGCGAATCAGTGCCGTCTATGGTCAGCTGCAGCCTCGCTCCAAGTCCAGCCTGTGGTCCATAGACAGTAAATAAGCGTCTGTGCTTTTCTGTGTTAGCTTCATGTCAACTCGGAGAGAAAATGTGTTTTTGGTGTAAATATGTGACGAGAGTATTTGGCTCAAAGAGGAAGAGTGAGGCGGACGTGGATCGACTTTGCCTTTTATCCTTGTGTCTGAAATCCGCGACAAAACTCGCAGATGTTTTTTTTGAGTGACACCACCAAAGACTGTTCCTGAACTACGGTTACCTTGAAACGGGACCTACTCAAAAGCTGATCTGGAAACATGGTGTTATTTCCAACATAAAAGCCTCGGACTGTGAGTACAATGCCACAAACTCGCCGTATGTCACTGTGAACTAAATAATTAGGACATAGGGCTCTATGAGACGGATCGCCACTATAGCCTACAGTACAGAAGTGTCAAACTCATTGTAGAAGGGTTATTGTTTTTTACATGAAGGTAATATGAAGGTATTTGACAGTGTTTATTATTTAGATTTAACGAAAACAAAGTTAAACACATTGTTTTGTATGAACGATTTAACTTCTAATGATGTGTTGGGTTAAAAGTTTAGATAAAATGTGGTTGTTTTCCTAAAAAATAGATTATGTAGAACTTGCCCTGGTAGCCCATAACCATAAAGTTGCAACCTATTGATAATAATTGAAAATCATTATAGGGGGTCACTATATTGGTCTTGAGCCTCAAGCCTGAGTTTGTAACATGGAATCCCTCCACTTATGTCAGTTATTAATACGTACTATTTTTCCTTGATAGCCTTAGCCTAACAGCATTAGCCTAGCAGCATTAACCTAGCAGCATTAGCCTAGCAGCATTAGCCTAGCAGCATTAGCCTAGCAGCATTAGCATAGCAGCATTAGCCTAGCAGTCACCACTGGAAACGGCAAATAATAACAGCAAGATACAGTAAACGGACGGATGATGAGGTGCAGGCTAGGGATGTAAAAAACTATGAATTTTCTTTGAAAATGTTCTTTTAAATAACAGCCATTTCGAGCTGCGTACTTTCCATAAGTGCAGCTCTGCGTTCTATCAGGCGGTAACAGGGGGGAGAGATGATGCGTGTGGATGTTTGTATCATTGGAGGGGGGAAAGTGTGTGTGTGTGTGTCTGTGCGCGCGTGTGTGCGTGCGCGCGTGCATATGTGGCACGTGCAGCGTGAGAGTCGGCCCGGAGTTTACTCATACATTGGCGCACACAGCTAAATACACAGTGTCACTTTATAACAGCTTATACGACTCTAAGGCTGAGTTTACACGGAGACAATGTGTCAGTAAAACGCTAAAGTTGGTTGTCGGTTGCTACCAACCGTTCATACGGAGACTGTGTTCCAGGGGGGTGAAAACGTAAGTGTTCAGATCCAGCCTGCAGAGTGGGACAACTCAGAAACGCTGCACAGCGGGGAGCTCTTTCACAGCCGCGAGAGGGGAAAAGGTGTGAAATCCCCCTCTGCTCTGACCCCCGCCTCCGCACTGCTCCCCGCACGTACATTTGGACATGCGCAGTAGCGGAGAACAAACATCAACCACAATGGCGGCGGTCACACACAAACTAGCTACGTGGGCTTCCAGCGCGGCACAGAGGATAATTCTACTCCTTCGTTCGTCCAAACGAGACCACGCGAAGCTCTAGGTTCAGTTTCCATTTTCACAGCTGCTGTTAAAATGCAGAATGATGTTGGTGCGTTCCGAGGGTCTGGCACAGGAAGTGAGTACACTGCCGAGTACACTGCTGGGCACGGGGCTGGGGGTCGTGTGGTAAAGTTTCTTTGCCGACTACTAGCCACATATCATCTGTGACATCATCAGCTTACTTCCACCTAAGAAACATTGCTAAAATTAAAAACATAGTGTCTAAAGCAGACTTGGAGATTCTCATCCATGCATTTGTCTCCAGTAGGTTAGACTACTGCAATGGCCAGCTCACAGGTCTGTCCAAACAGGCTGTAAAACAGCTGCAGTACATCCAAAATGCTGCAGCTCGAGTCCTGACTAGAACCAGGAAGTACGACCACATTAGTCCGGTCCTCAGGTCTCTGCACTGGCTTCCTGTGGCTCAGAGAATAGACTTTAAAACAGCTCTGCTTGTGTACAAGTCTCTCCATGGCCTCGCACCAGGGTACATCCGCGACATGTTGGTGCCATATGAACCAACTCGGGCTCTGAGGAGCACAGGGACTGGACTTCTGTTAGTGCCAAGAGTCGGAACTAGACATGGGGAGGCTGCGTTTCAGATTCATGCAGCTAGAGTCTGGAACCGTCTTCCCGAGAATGTGAGACAGGCGTCTACTCTAGCAGTTTTTAAAACTGAACTGAAAACAGTTCTTTTTTAGCTGTGCATACAAGTGAATGATTTTATATTTGTTTTTATCTTTAATCTTTTTAATGCGCTATAACTATTTATGATTGTAATCCCTTGTGTGATTTTAATGTTTTACAGTTTTTAACTGCTTGTGTGATTTTATATATCTTGTGCTCTTAATCTGTCTTTTTATGTTTACTTAAATTCTAATGTTTGATGATTTATGCATGATGTTATATGGGTTGTGAGGCGCTTTGCGTTGCCTTGTGTAGGAAAGGCGCTCTACAAATAAACGTTGATTGATTGATTGATACTGGCCGTGCGCTAGAACTACATCGTTTTTCAACCTCATGTGAACGCTGAGAAAGTTGCAGTAGGAGCCAGGTCGTTTCTGTTAATAGCCTGGAAACGTCTGTGCAGCGTCTCAGTATAAACAGGGCCTCAAACACTGATCCACAAGATAAGGCAGAGGCCATAATATATTTGCAGGTGGAAACTAGTTATTCTCAGTGAGGGCTGAAAGTTAGGTACCCCAGCTTTAACTGTTTTAGTGAAATTCAGTAGACTAATCTGTCATAGGAGGCTTAAAAAAGTATTGCATTAAGCTTTTGTTCATTATATAGTGTCAATTGCTGTCTATATTTTGGATTATATGTTCAGCAAAAAGTAATGCCATTAACCATGTGTGGACTGGACTATAACTGCTAAAATAACCTGTCTAATTTGTTAGCTGTGTTTATGTCCTGCTAAAGCAATAAAAGGTTGACACTGCCCGTGAATGGCAGAAACTACACAATAAACAACAATATACAGCAGCTCCTGACTAGAACCAGGAAGTACAACCACATTAGTCCAGTTCTCAGGTCTCTGCACTGGCTTCCTGTGGCTCAGAGAATAGACTTTAAAACAGCTCTGCTTGTGTACAAGTCTCTCCATGGCCTCGCACCAAAATATATTAGTGACATGTTAGTCCCATATGAACCAGCCCGGACTCTGAGGAGCACAGGGACTGGACTCCTGTTAGTGCCCAGAGTCAGAACTAAACATGGGGAGGCTGCTTTTCAGATTCATGCTGCTAAAATCTGGAACAGTCTTCCTGAAGATGTGAGACAGGCCTCCTCAATGACAATGTTTAAAACCAGGTTAAAAACAGTTCTGTTTAGCTGTGCATACAACTGAGGGATTTTATATTTTTATCTTTCCTTTTAATGTACTGTGATTATTTAAGATTTTAAGTCTGAGAACAAGACCTAGAATAAAACAGGAATTCTGCGGTTTGAAAACTGCCATTGTATAAAAGTCACTCCACCAAAAGTGTGATCCATCTCCTCTGGCTAAGGTGATGTATTATGCAACAAACTCTGCTAGCATGTTAGCATAGAGTTAGCTTCCCCATTAGCCGCTGTTTTAATATAAGTTTAAACTAAAATAACATACAACGAATTGTGTTATATGTGTTTTTAACGGTCACACAAATCACTTCCCACGCGAGTCACAGCATGTCAGACCCGGGGAGAGACTGAGGAGACCGCGGGGTTGGTTAGCTAAAGCTAGCGTTAGCTTCTGGAAGTTTGTGCTATACATGCTACACGTGCTAATGTTTACCTTCAGTGAGTCCGCTGAAGGCGCGCTGTCTGGCCCTGAGAAACATGCCCCTCTCGCTGACAGCCATCCAGTCCGCTCGGCTCAGGCTGGTAGGTGTGTGTGTCTGTCCTGTGGGGCTGGGGAGAGCCGAGCCTGTGTGTGTGTGTGTGTGTGTGTGTGTGTGTGCGGACCGAAGACCCATTCATTCAGCCCGGGTCTCAGATCTCCACAGCGGCCCCCACCGGCGCTGAGAGGCTATGCGGCTGGGTACCTGTTGGAGTCGGTCAAACAGGAATCAAACTGCCTTGTGTGGATTAAGTTTATTTTATTTATTTATTTATTTAATTAATCTTTAATTCAGACACACAAAGGGTCCATATAAAACAAAAGAGACAAAAAAACACACAAACATTCAATATTTACAAAATTCTATAACGTTTTATTTTATTTATTTTATTTATTTTATTTATTTTATTTATTTTATTTATTTTATTTATTTTATCTTTAATTCAGACACACAAAGGGTCTATATAAAACAAAAGAGACAAAAAACACACAAACATTCACTATTTAAAACATTCTCTAAAGAAGTGACAATATTAGGACACTGAGATTGTACGCATGTATATTTTAGACGGTATACTGAAACTGTAGAATTTATTTTATAGGTAAGAATGGTTTGAATTTCAATTTTGGGGAAATCACTCTCCATGGTGCTGAAAGTCCGAGGTCCGGCGTTCAAGTATGAAGACAAGAGAACCTTCAATTGTCCTACAATGGGGAAATGTCTGTGTTGCAGTGCACAGGCAAGACAGTAGTTACAGCACATATGGAGCACACAATGTATACAGAGATAAGTAGCTGTAAATGCCTCTTGAATAGCTGTAAATGCTTCATAATAAGAGAAAAAAGTAAGTATTATAAATGAGGCAGATAGTGACATTCTGCGAGCATTCATAAATTGTAAAATTGTACATCATTCCAGTATTTAATATTTACAGATGAGATTATGTGCACAGGCTCAGCAGTTCTCATCTTACAGTCTGACAGCAGCAGGGAGGAAAGACCTGCAAAACTTCTCCTTCACACAGCAAGAGTGGATCAGTAAATCACTAAAGCTGCTTTCGGTACATAAGTATAGAAACGTAACGTGAAATGTAACTCTTTAAGTATTGAAATAGTTCCTTAACTTAAGTGAAAATAAAGATTCACAGATTTTATTGAGTTAATGACTAATTATTTTTTTAATTTAATCCAATTTACCCTTAACCTTAAATGTTTAATATTGGCAGTGAATATGACAATAAACTTATAGAATGTGTGCCAAATGGTCTGAATGGTCCAACCACAATGAATGAATTAACCAGTTTTAGGTATGGGAATCCAAATACACACAACATGTTTTGTTTAGTGGACAAATTTAGGGGATCACTCTCCATGGTGCTGAAAGTTCCTAGTTCCTCTCAAGGTATATGGCATGAAACAGGTGTTCTTTATCAAAAATTGACATATTTTGTTCAGGTGGTAGTTTGAAAAAAGCTTATAACTAAGCTTATAATGCAGGAGAATCTGTTGGACAGTTAGTGTCTAACTAAGAGGGACTGTGGTGATGATCCAGACACTTGACATTCTACAACATGTATGACATTTTTTAACATGTGTTCTATATTATTCATGTGTTTTAACTGATGATTCTCTGATCTGTGTTGGTGATTTCAATGGTTTTGTTAAGTCCTCTGAGATTACTTCTGTTGTGATTTAGGGCTATACAAGAATAAATTGTATTGTATACAAGAATAGATTGCATTGTATAACAAAATATAGAATTTTACAACAGGGACTGGTTTTTATTCGGGTGAAAGCGCATCATTCCAGAAGATTCCAAAATTGCAGGAATAATTCAAGAAAAAGGGAAAACATATAGTCAGTTAATTTAAACATTTATTTAAAGAATAGAACAGAGCTTATCCTAACTCTTAAAAAGGTTTTTGACATGATTTTTCACAGTATGCTTGTTTGTTATGGACACAGCCATAACTTTTCCAGAAAGAAAAGTTAAGAAGAGATACTTTTATACTCTCCCTTGTAGTGGGATGTGTTCTTTTTTATAAAAAAATATATAAGAAAATGGACATTATAAACTTAACTACAATAACAAAACTGAATATGTCTGAGCAGTCAGCGGTTACAGATGACACGGGCATCTGTTGGAGACGCCTCCTCCTGACTCCTGTCTGGGGAGGTGTTCTGGGCATGTCCCACTGGAGGAGACCAGGAGGAGACCATGGAGGAGACCAGGAGGAGACCCAGGACACTGAGGGACTCTCAGCTGCATCTGGAACGCTTTGGGATTCCCCCAAATGAGCTGGAAGAAAGTGTGTATATAGGTGGATAGGGTCACTGCTTAGACTTTTGCCCTCACGACAATGCTATATTGAGGAAACAATTTAATTTAAAATAAATAGTATTTTTTCAAGCCAGAGCACCTTAGGAATTTGCTTTGAGTAAATAGGTTACACAAACATATACAGTCAAACAAAGCAAGTACTTAAACTCAATTTAAATCATTTTTGTTAAGCCCTAAATCACAACAACAGTTGTCTTAGAAGACTAAACAAAGTTGTTGATGAACTGACAACAGATCAGAATATCAAGCTGTTCGAACACAGGAAATGCAACACATACATTGGTCCAATACCCAAAAACGTTAATGCATTTCCATGTCCCAATCATCACAGTCCTAAAACCCTCCTGCATCGGGAAGAATCAACTCAAAATTGAATCTGTGGGGAAAAGGGGGTTCCACCGGGAGGCCCACAATAACAGAGGGATCCGTACACAGACGTTATCATTATTAATAATAAAAATAATAGCAAGGCCTCTGTTTCATATTGCTTCACATCTCATGATTATTTCACTCCAAACACGATGGTGATAAACTACTGTAGCCACAGCTGCCAGAAGTGAGGCCACCAGTATTTGCCATATGCACCAATCAATCATGCACACAGTCTAGACCCATTGTAGACATTGGGCCTCATTCACGAACGGTTCTTAGGAACAGATTTGTACGTAAATCCTACTTACGCGGTTTTTACGAAGAAAGTGGCATTCACGAATATTTCTCGTAACCAGAATTTCTCTTGGGCAAGTACAAATCCTACGAGTCCTCAGGAGCACTCGTACGCATTCAGTGCCGACATGTTCACACGCCGGGGTTGTCCTCTTTGGTGAAGTTGAATAAAAATACAACATTCCAGTGATATGTCCGTCATATCGATGTATGTATTTATTTATTTGTAGTAATCTTTATTAGTAATCTTTATTTATATACCGCCTTTTTCACTGCAGATCTGGCCTACTTTTTAATTCATTTTGAAATGAAATGTGCCAACGCTTTATCAAATACATTGGAAATCTTGCCGTGTATTAGTGACCCCTTCCTATTTATAGGGGGCATTTCTTTATCCACGGGCCACAGAACAACGGCATATATACTGCTGCTGCAGGAGGTTAGTGGGTCCGCGCTGAGTCTCTGCGCTGGTCTCTCCTATGGATCTATACGGGTCTGCACTGGTCTCTCCCATGGATCTATACTGGTCTGCACTGGTCTCTCCCATGGATCTATACTGGTCTGCACTGGTCTCTCCCATGGATCTATACGGGTCTGCGCTGGTCTCTCCCATGGATCTATACGGATCTGCACTGGTCTCTCCATACGGGTCCGTGCTGCATGCTCCTGGATCCACGGGTCCGCGCTGGTCTCTCAAGTCTGGTCTATGCGGTCTATCTTCGGTCCGCGCTGGTCTCTGCGCACCGGTCTCTCCAGTCAGGTCACTCCAGTCTATGCGGTCTCTCCTATAGGTCCGCGCTGGTTTCTGTGTGCTGGTCACTCCAGTCTCTCCTCGGGTCTGCATTGGTCTCAGCGCTGGTCCGCGCTGGATCTCCTCCCAGGGTCCAAAATATTTTGAGATTAAGCTCATAACATTTTGAGATTAATCTCATCATATTCTTAGATTAATCTCATAATTTTGCTAGTTCGACTTTATTATCATAATATTTCGACTTTTAAGTCAACATTTTATAACTTTATTCTCAGTCTGGTAAAAGAAGAAAAAAGCGTGACTCTTTTGCTCCGTGGCCTGTTGCTTTAGGCCTGTTGCTGTTTCCTCTGCCGTCTGCACACGGCCCTGCAGTCCCTTATATGGGCATTAGTGGGCGGTTACTTATGCTAAGTACCTATGCTAATGAAGCACCTGGCACGCGCGCTCTACTTACGAGGAAATGGGATTCATCAATCTGAGAGAACAGCTGCGAACAATTCAGCGCCTTACGAGTGCGTTGATGAATCCCACGTGGGGACTTCTTAGAAATCTACTTAAGGACAACTTGAGAAGAAAGTTGAGTAGTTTCTTACGAAGTTATTCGTGAATGAGGCCCAATGTGGGTAAAGTGTCTTGACTAAGGACACAGCAACAGTTTGGCACTTTGACTCGTGATAACATTTAATTGACAATCCCAATATACTCTGAAATATGAATGAAATACAGTAGAAGTCATAGTACACTGTTTTTCCCTGCGCTGCCATTGCTCAGAATCACTGACTTCCCAAAACAAAAGCCACCACCTCCAGCTCTTTTGTGTCTCTATCTCTCCCGCTCTGTTTGTCTGTCTCTGTTTCTCTCTCTCTCTCTCACCTCTCTCTCCCTTCGTATCTCTCTCTCTCTCCAGCCTGGGCAGATCTCCTCCTCATCCTCTCCCTCTCCCGTGCGCACCAAGCTCTCCCACCATTCCTTCTGTCTCTCCCCCTCTCTCCTTCCACTGTGCGTAAAGAGCGCGCCGATGGATGGATGTGTACAAACAGCCGCGCACCGTCAACGCGTATAGAGACCGTACAGAGACAGTGACAACTCAACGCAATCCCCCAGCTTTTCTTTTCTTTTTTTGATTTTCGCTCCGAGAGAAGATGCCGTTTGGATGTACAAATCTTGCATGTATCCTGGACTTTCCGCCAGCACGCACCACCACCACCACCACCACGACCCGCAGCTCTCCAAGTGTGTGCGCGTAACGGGGAGAGAGCACCATGCGAGGGAAGTACTTTCTTCTGGGCTTTCTGCTGCTCAAACTCATGGCTCTGGTGTGCAAGGCAGACGGAGAGCCTGGTCTTCTCGGTGGATTCGTCATGATCGCCACGTCCAACGGCTCCAGGGAAGAGGAGAGCGCGTCTGAAGAGACCCCGCACGTTGAGGACAAATGCCGGGGGTACTACGATGTCATGGGCCAGTGGGATCCGCCGTTCGTGTGCAAGACGGGCAACTACTTGTACTGCTGTGGCACCTGTGGCTTTCGCTTCTGCTGCTCCTACAAGCACTCGCGCCTGGACCAGAGCACATGCAAGAACTACGACACCCCGGTGTGGATGAAGACGGGCCAGACCACGTACAAAAACATGAACAAGATGCGAGACACCACGAAAGACAAAACCAACTTGATAGTGTACATTATCTGCGGAGTGGTGGCGATCATGGCCCTGGTGGGGATTTTCACCAAGCTGGGGCTGGAGAAGGCGCACCGACCCCAAAGGGAGAATATGTCCAGGTGAGAGAAAGAGGAGGCTGTGCAGAAGGGTGGGGGGTGCCAGATCTGCGCGCGTGTGTGTGGAAGGTATAGTCAGTGCGCTTGTTTACATGGGGAGATGGAAGGATGAGAGGCAAAACTGCGCGAATGTTTACAAGTATTGATCATTTACTGCACATCCATCCGATCTACATATATTGGTAATCAAGCAGACGTCAATAGAAATCTGAAAAATCTGTAAAAAAAAAAAAACAACAACAACTAAAACTGGATAGTAGCAGGGATAGATATGATAGATATATATAGATAGATAGATAGATAGATAGTTACTTTATAGATCCCCCATAAGAGAACTGCAGATGTCCAATAGCAGCAAAAAAAAAAAAAAAAAACATAATTAAATACATGATTTTAAAAGAAGCTACCAATAGGAATTGTTACATGCCTGGCAGACGGTAAATAAATACCGTAAATAATGCTAAAATACTTGATTCGGATTTTTTCACATTTCTGTAAATATTTGTGACTAATAAAGGACCTCTCTCAATCTTAACTAAAAGTGAAATTATTGCGATCTAACCGGTCACAGACAGCTTGATAGTAGATTCAATGGACATTTCTTCACATTGCTTTTAAAACAGGTCCCAATTATTCAAATTCATATTTTTTATTCGTACTGTATATGATTATGGTGTTATCCCAGTTATGCATCGATTAACCTAATTTCCTTGTCACAGGAGATAAAAGGGTAGTTTTCGTCTGCTAGCCTTGAGAATATGCCTGTTCTGTAGCGCCTGGTGATTGCAAGTGAGGATTTTTTTTTTTTTACATGGATTCAAAAATAGAACCAAAAAAGCCACAGCCAGTATTGTTCATTGTCCATTCTGTTCTGAGTGGAATAGTCAACGAGAGCTCTCCACTCGTAATCAATGAGCGGTGCCCGGTTGAAGCCATTGTTCAAAACGTAGGATTAAATAATCACAAGCAAAACCATACAAAAGAGCTGAAAAACGTCAAAATAAGCAAAAGAAATGATGCAAACTTCCAAAAAAATATACATGTTGTTGACCATTACAGTCTTATATATAGACAGTATAGATAGTATGACAGATTTTTCAACAATAATGTTTTAAAGACTTGATTTTAACCTAATTTCTCTTTAGTATTTGGCTCATTCTGAGAGAGTAAATTGCGTGAATGGTCTGCGCTTCAAAATGACATTTCCTGATTGAGAGCCCGAGCAGTGGTGTGTGTAGGACCGCATCCAAAAAGGCACGTTACGTTGTTGTAATCACTTTTGATACGGTCTGGCTCCAGTTTGGACATTGAGTTCCCACACGCTGAATATGATAATGCGTTTGTCACTATATAGGATGGGTGGGCAAACTCCCAGCAGTCCACATGACAGCTTCAGAACTGGTCATTTTTGCGCGTGTATAAAACCTCTATGTATATCTGTTTTTTATCACTGTCTAGAAAAACTAAGCCACTTTGAACATAGAAAGTTTTTTGTTTTTGAGGCTGCATTAGAGATTAACCTCAGGCTTTGTTAAAATGCATCATAACCAGAGATAGCAGAGTGTATAGTGGGGGAATGACTGTCCATCTCTTTGTATATCTGCCAAATAAGGCACCAGACCACATAAGGAGGCATACAGGAGGATTTGAATGTGAAATATTTGAGAATTTTCCCCAAATAATTGCATGTTAATGTAGAGGCAGAACTGGCATTATGAATTCCAGTGTAAAAAAAAGGTAGTTTTAGTTTAATAAACAGTTTTACAGACGGTGTAATCGTTGAAAACAGCTTGATCAATGTATTTCAAATCACACTCTAGAATAAAGATTGATATGTATAAAAAGATATTTGTTGAGATTGGCTCGTTCTCTCACAAATGTCTTGTTTTTGGAGAAATTAACTTATATTTTCCTATTCTCTGCCTACTGTGGCAAATGTGTTGAGTATGGAGAATTAAAACCAGTATTGAACCTATATATTCATTTGAACCAGTAAACCCTCAATAAAACTTTATCAGAAGAACTTGTATAAAACCTTATGGAACAATAAAAAGTAGCATTATTTGCAGAGAAAAATTACAGTTTTTTTGTATAAAGAAAAGTGCTGTGGTAGTGGCAATGACAGTGGTAGAGAATTAATTGCGATCGAGTGACTGGAGTTTGAAATGTTGTATTTTGAAGACACCAGTCATGTGTAAGCCCTGTTTCCACCGGCCATACCCGGTCCTAGTCTACTCTACTCTTCTCTACTCGGTCCTACTCTACTCTACTCTTCTCTACTCGGCCCTACTCTACTCTTCTCTACTCAGCCCTACTCTACTCTTCTCTACTCAGCCCTACTCTACTCTTCTCTACTCAGCCCTACTCTACTCTTCTCTACTCAGCCCTACTCTACTCTTCTCTACTCAGTCCTATTCTACTCTTCTCTACTCAGCCCTACTCTACTCTTCTCTACTCAGCCCTATTCTACCTGGCTGTGTTTCCATTGCACTTATATCTGGTACCGCATCCGAGCAACCTTCCCACGACAAACCAGTATCTGGGGAAATTCCTTGGTAACCGTGGCTTCCAGCAGCACTAATCTCTGTCAGTTGTACTTTAACGACCAGCTTAGTCTGGATAGAGCCGGGGCCAAGCTCGTACTGAAAAGTTCCTGCACTTAGTCCATGTCACAACATAGTTACTCATCAAAAACAGACCTGCAGTTACTATGATGTCATTGTACCTGTGACATCACACTTTTAAACAAAAGCATTATACATTTGTCTTGTACTTTTTAGTCTCATGTCTGTGTCTGCAGCCTGCTCCTGCCTCTTGTGGTAGGGATGGTAGTTAATCCAACCTACTTTATTTATATAGTGCATTAAAAAAAGTTTTTAGAGAATAATAACTGATCTAAACGTACAGGTCTGCCAGTTTATATGATATATTTAAATATGTGTTTATAGAACATGAATAAAACATGAAGATGTATGAAATAAAATGACATAAAAAAATGAATACATGAAATCTTTAAAATACTAATTATTCATTCATTAATAACAGTAATTATACAACAATCAAATGAATAAATCACAGAGGACCACACAATTCACGCTGTGGTACAAGCTGAAGAACGAAAGTGGGTGTTTTGACGACGTTTTGGTGAAGAGTGGGAGAGAAATATAATTCTACCAGAGATTTTTACCTTTGAGACTTGATTCACGACTTAAGATAATATTTCACATCCAAAAACACAAGTTGACAAATTAAATATTGTCATTATCATTACAAAGACTTACTATTTCTTCTGAAGCGCTTGTGCTAAAATATGGTCCAATCAACGCACGTTAAATTCAGACAATAGCAGCGAACGCGAGTCATTTTCACTTTACGCCACGTTGAGCAACATGTCACGCCTTGCTACCGTTGGCGGTCCCACATACGAGGGCAAACGGCGCACATACAAGAGGAGAGTGTAATTACATTAGCCCTGTATCCCTGCTCTCTGTGCTATCATCACCTCTGCTGCTCACAGGGCCGTGGCCAGCGTGCTCCAGGGCGGATGTCCCAGCGAGCAGTTCCGAGGAGAGGAGGGGCTGGGCATGACCTCGCAGCACTTTGTGTCCCGGACCACAAACCTCCGTGAGTACTGCTGACACCTGCTGCTGACACCTGCTGCTGATTTGGGCTGTTCCTGATTTGGTGTTTTTCATACATTGGAGGTTGGATTATGATGGCAAGATAGATAGATAGTGTAGGGATTTCATAACACTTTTAAGCAACTGTGTTTAAAGTTCAAACACAAGCACGAGCCAGTACTTTTCCACTTGATGTTCTGTCTATCTGAAGGCCGAGCTGCTGGCATTGCGGCGAAAGATGATTGGACGGTGTTCATTCCCATGCTGTGTAATACACTTGCATCTGTTGTGTGCGTGTTCGTGCGTCTACCATCAACAATAAAAGGTCTTCTGTCTGAATTAAAGACTTTGGCTGATTCCTAACTATAGATAGATACTTTATAGATCCCACATAAGAGAACTGCTGGTCCAGTATAGCAGCAGAAACCCCCCGATAAATACATGATTTTAAAAGTAGCTACCAATAGGAATTGTTACATGCCTGGCAGACGGTAAATAAATACTGTAAATAATGCTAAAATACTTAATACTTGATTCGGATTTGTGCATATTTCTGTAATTATTTGTGACTAACTTCATGAAAGCCCGACTAACAAAGGATCTCTCTCAATCTTGAAAGTAGATTCAATGGACATTTCTTCAAATTGCTTCTAAAACAAGTCCCAATTATTAAAATTCATACTTTTTATTCGTATATGATTATGCTGTGATTCCAGTTATGCATCGATTAACCTAATTTCCTTGTCACAGGAGATAAAAGGGTAGTTTTCGTCTGCTAGCCTTGAGAATATGCCTGTTCTGTAGCGCCTGGTGATTGCAAGTGAGGATACACATCAAGTTAGAGCAGAAAGTAAACAAAGCACTGCTGCTGGTGTTGGAAATATTGTTGGGTCTGGTATCGGTTTGATGGTATCGGTTGGAGGAACAGTTTGTGATATACGCCCTTAGTAGTTTCAAGTCATTCGCTGATTGGCTGAGTGAGGGTGGTCATCTTGTCCACTTTTCTCTCTGGAAATGCTCAAAACAGTAAAAAAAAAATACACTACTTTTTTATGGTTTCTGATCTCACAATGGAGACATTTACCCTTATTGGCTTCAATAATATCACTCCGGGCGTGCAAAAAGACAGAAAATGTTAAAAAAGTGAAAGATATTGGGAATCTCATGTCCTTTAAAGGTCAGTTATGTACAATTAAAAAGTGACTATGGCAGAGCAGAGTTTGAGTCCGAGTGCAGGTTGCTATATTCTTGTGACTTCTTGGACCGAAAGTTATGCACCTCACCTTTAATAACAGCTTAATGAATATGTAGATCTCCTAACGACTTAACTGTCTAATTAGCAGTTACTGAATTGAAGTCACTCTGAATAATATGAATAGTTCATGAGCAAAATCAAATAAGCGGCATTAGAAAAACACTTTGGAAGACTAACAATTTTCTCTTTATAAAGTATTGTTTGGAAACGTGATTTAGTGCCATCAAATTAAAGTTTACCCCATTCTCAAATAAATCCTTTCAAATGTAGAGGAAGAGAACATGAAGATTGCAGCCAGAGAAAAACAACTTTGTGACACATTTTCAGAACAAGCGATGCCTGGTTTTTTCATGGATTTGTTCACATCTCTTTGTTGTTAACGTTGTAAATAATAGAATCTTTAGGAAAAGTCATCGTGAGTATGTCATTTTGCTGTCGGCTTTGGCTTTGAACTCGCTGGAGCCCTGGGAATGCTGTGAAGGAGTGGCTTTTGGCTTCTAACAAGTGTGAATGAAGCGCTCGGGCCGACAGTCACAATCAGAGATGTTGTTTTTCTGCTGTTTCTCCGTCGCCTCGTTCTCCGCTGTATATTCATCCTCATCAGGGCTGCAGCCTGACAGCAGGACGGCTCACTCCTCGCTATTGATTTACAGAGCATTCTTTCATTTATCGTCTCTCACGTGGAGAGCGCCGTACGTGACTTATGCCGCCGACCCACACGGAGGCTGTGTGATGGATGTGGTGTGTGATGGAGGACCGGCAACGTCATGGGTGTGGCAGCTCAGACCATGTGCCTGAACCTGTGTCTCTCACGGAAGTTTTATCGTGCAAGTTTTACGTAATTCATTCAATCAATCAATCAATCAATCAAGGCCTTACACAAACCCAAACTGCTCATACGTGTTTGGCCTGTAAGATGTGAGATGGACAGAGTAGCAAAGCAAAGAATCAATGATAAAAATGTAGGTTTTTACAGTATTAGTATTAAAGTTAACCAACCACCTATCTCTCTCTTTACTCTTTACTATTGCAGACGTTCCTTATGTATTCTTTTCAAGAAACCAGCTCGAATTGCCCTCTGCTTCAGCACTTGTCTTCTTCGGCACGTTGGAGGTTGATGTATGTCCATGTCTTTGCTCCGGGAATTCGCTCGGCTCCGGCGTTTTAATTTGGCGTGTGAATTCTTTAGGGTCTGTAATTATCGCTCAGACCTGATCTGAAGTTCTAACACGCAAAAATACATGCTTAAAATCAATCAATCAGTTGGTGTAATGCGTCTTCAGAATCAGAATCAGAATCAGAATCATTTTTATTGCCAACGTAAGTAACGGGAGGTCACAGACTTGGAAATTGCTTTGGCTCAGTGCAACAGTCAAAAAGAGATAATAAAAATAAGAATAAAAAACACTTCTAAAGAATAAATTTAAATTTAAAATAGAGTTACAGTTACTATTTACAATATACAAGTGCACATGGTGCACACAATGTAAGGTGACAGCAGTACAGTGAAGTAAAGTGACGTATGATGGGCAGTAAAGTGACTTTATAAAGGGCGGGGGACAGGTTAAGAAGTGTTCAAGAGTCCAACAGCAGAGGGGAAGAAACTGTTCTTGTGGCGGGAGGTTCTAGTCCTGATGGACCGCAGCCTCCTGCCTGAGGGGAGTGGTTGGAATAGTCCATGTGCAGGGTGAGAGGGGTCGGCTGTGATACGACCAGCCCGGCCTCGAGCTCGGGCGACGTACAGGTCCTGCAGCGATGGAAGGCTGCGGCCGATCACTTCCTCTGCAGAGCGCACAATGCGCTGTAGTCTCTGTTTGTCCCTGACTGTGGCTCCAGCGAACCACACGGTGATGGAGGAGGTGAGGATGGACTCGATGATGGCCGTGTAGAACTGCACCAACATCTGTGCAGGCAGCTTGGCTTTCCTGAGCTGCCGCAGGAAGTACATCCTCTGCTGGGCCTTCTTGATGAGGGAGCTGATGGTCGGCTCCCACTTGAGGTCCTGGGTGATGGTGGTGCCCAGGAAACGGAAGGACTCCACAGAGGTGATGGGGGAGTCCATCACGGAGGGTGGGGGCGGGGGGACAGTGCTCTTCCTGAAGTCCACAATCATCTCCACTGTCTTCTGGGCGTTCAGCTCCAGGTTGTTACCACTGCACCAGGACACCAGCCGGTCCACCTCCCTCCTGTAGGCGGACTCATCGTTGTTGGAGATGAGTCCAATGAGGGTGGTGTCGTCCGCGAACTTGATCAGCTTCACGGAGTCGTGGCTGGAGGTGCAGTGGTTGGTGTACAGGGAGAAGAGCAGGGGAGAAAGAACACAGCCCTGTGGGGCTCCTGTATTTATAATCCGAGAGTCCGAGACATTCTTCCCCAGACGCACTCGCTGCTTCCTGTCCGTCAGGAAGTCAGTGATCCACCTGCAGGTGGAATCGGGCACGTTGAGCTGGGAGAGCTTGTCCTGGAGTCTTATAGTCTTAACCCGTCTGCTTTAGTTCTTTCTTTTTGTGGTTTCCTTGGAATTTTTTTTATTCATAATTATATCATAGTTTATTGCATTCTTGCACTTTGGGTCTTTGCTTTCTTCACCTCAAATAACATACGGATTCTAATTCAAAAGGGGAATTCGATATAAACAACAGAACATTTTTTCAGGTGGTTGGAAAGGCTCTTCCTCAAGTGAAGATAGGCAGCTTGTCTGCTCAAAAATATCTACAATTATGCTAATCAATTCAATTGGTTTTTGCGTAGCCCTAAATCACAACAGCAGTTGCCTCGGAGGACTTTACAGAGTTGTTAATTCACAAACAATGGCTCAGAGAATCCAACTGGAAATGCGATAATAACAAAGACATAGGAGCCATTGGTACAAAAGAAGTTGATGACGTTACTAAATCTCCCAGATCATCACTCTCCTTAGACCAGGGGTGTCCAAACTTTTTAGTAAGGGGGCCACTTTAGTTCACAGGACTTGACCTGGGGCAGACAACCTGGATTTAAAACCTGGATTGGAGCTGGATTGACTGGATTCTGGAATTCAAATTGTGTTATAGTAAGTCCTTATAGATTCACACCACAGCTGCATTTTGTTTGTAATGTTGTGACACAATCATAAAACGAATAAATAACAATAGAGCCAACACCTGGATTCCAGAGGATCTGAGATTTACAACAGGGTATAGCATGACTGTATTGGTGGAGCTGAAGTTGGTTGGATGACACTGTCAAAGTGCCTCAATGGCGACTTTGCCACATACAATTGCACAGGCCTGAGCTTGGATATGCCAGCCTTAAACCCTCCAGAATCAGCCAAAAAACAAAAAATCCACTCTCCAGGACAGACAGGAGATAGATCCAGGACTCAGGCTGTAGAACGAGGACTGAGGCGGCTTCCAGGCAGGTGAAAGGGGGGTCCAGCCCAGGAGTCCGGGCCAGGGCAGACCAGTTCCCAGGTGTAGATCAAAGAGCACGGGTTCAGGGGTCTCATCAGCACACCATGAAACGGGACAGTGGGTGAATAGCAATGAACAGACTACAGCTGAAACATAAAGCCAGAGAGAGGAGAGGACAGTGTGTGAGAGAAGTGGATTCAAACACATTTTTCAACATTCCCATGAAATACCATAACTTCATTACACAACTTCTGCTCCGGATGTCTTTGCGTCTCCCTCCTCTCTCCAAACAGGCGTCTTATTCACCGATTTATTTTGGTTGCACATGATATAATGAGGGAGCGCGGCGAGCGGGGGTGTGCATGTGAGTCGGCCCAGGAAGTGGCCAATGGTTTGTGGGCTGTTGAATGGGAGCGAGGGGGGGGCAGGGGGACAGGGAGGCAGAGAGAGAACAAGCAAAATGCATAGAAAAAGATTAGCTTTAGAGCTGTGTGGAAAACGGATTGAATTTTGTCTTTGTCTTAGATTAGTCTGGGTTTGATAAGACACTGTTAAAAGCTACGGGAGAGAAATGAGAGATCACACCCACATTTTTATTTTTATCTGTTTATTTTGTGCTTTTTTTCTTTTTGACAGGAAATAAAACAACACTTAAGATTCAAAAATGGATCCTGGGTTTTTGTAGATTAGTGGATTACTGCAGTAACATTTACAGAAACGCACAAAACTGTTTCAAAAGTAAAACGATAACGATGAGACGACAAATCAACTATAAAAACATGTCCAATTAAGACGGACCACCCAACGATTTTGTACGTAAGCTAGCGCACTAAAAATTTTACTTAAAATATTGCTTAAAACAAAAAAATAACACTAGCCCCAAATGACTTGATACGTACATTTCAAGTTTTATTGACTTATTTAAAAAAAAAAAAACAGAAATGTTTTCTCTGACGTTAACAAACCAGGCCGTTCTCAGTGTTTTCTTTATGCCTCATACAACACACTTATTCAACCTGTTGTTCTCTATTCTATTATTATTTTAAATTGCCTCAAGATGAAATGTCTATTGTTGATTTTGGATTTTATCACATCAACTTCAACAAAAAATGCAACTTATGCTCTAGTGCGACTTATAAATGGTTATATATGGTTTTTTCCTTCTTTATTTTGCATTTTTGGCTGGTATGACTTATACTCTGAATAAAATGGTAATTGCATGTGTTTCTGCTATTCTATCTATCCATCCATCCATTCATCCATCCATCCTCTCTATCTGTTAAATTTTTTGCAGTTTTTACATTTGGAACCCCCGCTTTGAACTGAAAACCGCTTAGACCCGCAATTCTTCGCTTAGACCCGCAATTCTCCGCTTAGACCCGGGATTATCTATCTATTCTCTCTATCTATCTATCTATCTGTCTGTTACATTTTTTGCAGTTTTTACATTTGGAACCCCCGCTTTGAACTGAAAACCGCTTAGACCCGGGATTTTCCTGACCTGCAGTATGTGTTATTGTTAGAGTCCACCAGAGGTCCATCTGTAAAACTAATCAGGCTCCAATTTGGTTTTAACAAGCGCTTTTCCCCCGGTTTCCCTCCCGGACACATTCTGCCCACTCTGATCTTTTCTCAGGCATAAATGAAGCAAAGCTGATCTCATGAAAAACTGGATCGAATTGGACCAAGAGTCTCTCCAGCTTCCAATCCTTCAAAATATTCCGTACATTTGCGAAGCGCTGTTTTAAGACATTTAGAGATTTTTTTCACATACTATTGAACTATGAGTAGTTGTAAAGCGCTTTGGGTGACCTTGGTCTGTACAATGTGCTACATAAGTAAACATTACCTACTTACTTACCTACCAACAGAACGTGTCGATGGTCTTTTCGCTCTCTGTCCGACAGTTGCCATGGTAACGGGGTAATGTTATTGAGGTCTGTATGAATAAAAATGACTTACTTACTTACTCACTAACTTACTTATGTAATCGCTCCACCTGTCTGCAAGTGGAACCGTCCTGATAGTGGGCACGTGGGAGGGGAAAGAGTCAAACACGGTATTTTTGTGTTTAGAGGAGATTTTTTAACTCAAAAGATAATGATAATATTAATAATACGTCAAACTTATATAGCGCTTTTTTTTGACACTCAAAGACGCTTTACAAAACATGTGTAAGAACAGAGAAGAGCAAAATTAAGGAAAGGCAAGAGACTTTACCCGCATTAGAATGAGTCTGGTGAGTGTGTGAATGGTTGGTGGTGGGAGGGGCCAATGGCACGGACTGGTTGCCTCTCTACTGTCAGTGTGCCCCAGGGCGGCTGTGGCTTCAGTAGTAGTTTATCACCGCTGTATTTGGAGTGAAATAATAATGACGTTAAACAAGGTGCTCCGCTCTGCAAAGAG